CATTTTCAATAAAAAGGCACGATGATTCCTAGCAGTTGTCACTCCTCAGAGAGCGATCTTTGAGGTGTGTCCGGCATAGGACGTGCATGAAAGCATCGAGGCCTCTGTCTTCTATTCACCTTTGCTGCCTCCGTCGAGATAACCCACCCACGCCGAGGCTGGACCCCGGCAATAAGCCACAGACAGTCCAGGGAGCAATGAAATGCTCCCTTCTCTCTTCAAGTGCTACAAGGGGCTACGTCCTCACAGGCTTCTGAGGCATTTAGACTGAAGAAGGGAGACATCTGGTGGCTATTTCTTGGCTAGAAGTTCTTGTTTGAGCTAAATAGATAATGCACCTGGGGGTGGGGGTGGGGGTGGGATCTATGTACCAGCAGTGAGGTGCCCACTTCCACCACAAAGGAAGATGATGGAGAAAGAATAAGTCAAGAGAAGACTCCAACCCAAACTCCTTTTTCAGATTGAGCAGCCCTCCTTGAATGCTTCCTACCACAGTATGATTCCTTTCAAGGGGATCTATCACCGCCCAGGCCTGCAGTTCAGCTTCCCAGTACCCACCTGCTCTGGGGGGCTTAAGCACGTTACATGTTAACTGACTCCTTCATATTAACTAAGGTCTTATTGATTAAGAAAACAATAAAAGATACTCTTCCCTTCTGATTTAAGTTTCCAATGCTGCTGTAACAGCACATTTTACCACAAACTGAGTAGCCAAAATAACATAGGTCTACACTCTTATGGTTCTGGAGACTGGAAGTCCAATGTGAGGGAGCAGCACTGGTTTCTTTTAGATGCTTCAAGGCTACGCAGTCTCTGCCTTTTCCAGCTCCCAGAGGTGCCTGCAGTCCTCAGCTCCAGGCCCCTTCTCCTCACATCATTCCTCTTTCTCTGTCTCTGTCTTCATTCTGGCCTCTCACCTGCCCCTTATAAGGACACTTATGATGTTATGGCCTCATCTGGATAATCCAAGCAATCTACCTGGATCTTTGGGAGGCCTTCACATATATACTATAGCAAAAACATAAATAAATAAATAAATAAATAAATTAATTAATTTTGGGGCCAGCAAGTGGTATAGTGGTTAAGGTGCTGGACTCCCATGTAGTCAACTGTGGTTTGGGTCCTGGACCTGGTGACTTGAAACTCATACTGGGCATATGTGCATGTGTGCCCAAAATCCCAAGAGGAGAATGGAGGAGAAGGGATTGTGGCATGGCCACCCCCCCCGGTGAATGATTTCTCGCTTTCTGTCTCTGTCACTCTGCTTCTCTGGTGAGGGTATACGTTCTATACCAAAAATCTAAAAAAAAAAAAAAAAAAAAAAAACAAAAAAACAAAAAAAAAAAAAAAAAAAAAAAAAAAAAGAGGAAATCAATATTTTCTGAAAGACAGAGGGACAATCCCCCCAACTGGGTCTTCATACCATAAAGCCAGACTGGATCACAGGTATGCATGCCCAGCATATTTAGGAAGGCTCTGGGATGTGAACCTAGAATATTCTCTATGTCACTGTCTGGCCCTTAGAAGATTTACCTAATTTGCTCATGATATAATTTTTTTTTGGAGAGTCTTTGTGTGTGTGTGTATGTGTGTGTGCGCTATAGGGCACATGTGCTCGCCAGAGAGACAGAAATCACCCCCTGGAGGAATGGCCATGCCACAACCCCTTCTCTTCCATCCTCCTCTTGGAATATATATATATATATATATGATTGAATACAGAAGCAGATATGAGAATTCAGTTGTCATTAGTTAAGCTTGGCATTAAAGAGACTCACAGACATGTAAAACATGTCACTCCCTTATTTGGTTTCTTTCTTTTTTTTGTTTTTGGAGAGGTTTTTGCTATAGTGCACATGAGCTAGCCAGAAAGACACAGAGAGACAGAGAGACAGAAAGTAAGAAATCACCCCCCAGGGGGGATGGCCACACCACAATCCCTTCTCCTCCATTCTCCTCTTGGGATCTGGGGCATGCATGCACACCCGCCCGGTGTGAGTTTAAGCCACTGGGTCCGGGACTCAAACTGTGATTGACTACATGGGAGTCCAGCAACATAGCCATGATGCCAACTGCTGGTCCCATCGGTTTCTATTATTTTTATTTATTTATTTATTTTTTGGAGAGATTTTCGCTGTAGGGCTCGTGCGCTCGCCAGACAGACAGAGACAGACATAGAGACAGAAAGTGAGAAATCACCCCCCAGGGGGGATGGTCACGCCGGCCCTGGCCCAGGACTGAAGTTATCAAACATCCTGCAAGCCCCCTCTTCAAAAGACTCTTCCCAGTAATCAAGATCTAAGGAGAAGATACAGCAGACAAATGGACTTCCTCATCCTGAGAACTGTGATTGATTTTACCTGAGCTAACAAGACAAACAGCATGTTTTATAATTATTGCTTCCATGCTTTGTATACCCTGTTCCTTAGAGTAAATCTTTTACTGCCCCTCACCCATTTACTTGCATGTATCCCATTTTCAATAAAAAGGCACGATGATTCCTAGCAGTTGTCACTCCTCAGAGAGCGATCTTTGAGGTGTGTCCGGCATAGGACGTGCATGAAAGCATCGAGGCCTCTGTCTTCTATTCACCTTTGCTGCCTCCGTCGAGATAACCCACCCACGCCGAGGCTGGACCCCGGCAATAAGCCACAGACAGTCCAGGGAGCAATGAAATGCTCCCTTCTCTCTTCAAGTGCTACAAGGGGCTACGTCCTCACAGGCTTCTGAGGCATTTAGACTGAAGAAGGGAGACATCTGGTGGCTATTTCTTGGCTAGAAGTTCTTGTTTGAGCTAAATAGATAATGCACCTGGGGGTGGGGGTGGGGGTGGGATCTATGTACCAGCAGTGAGGTGCCCACTTCCACCACAAAGGAAGATGATGGAGAAAGAATAAGTCAAGAGAAGACTCCAACCCAAACTCCTTTTTCAGATTGAGCAGCCCTCCTTGAATGCTTCCTACCACAGTATGATTCCTTTCAAGGGGATCTATCACCGCCCAGGCCTGCAGTTCAGCTTCCCAGTACCCACCTGCTCTGGGGGGCTTAAGCACGTTACATGTTAACTGACTCCTTCATATTAACTAAGGTCTTATTGATTAAGAAAACAATAAAAGATACTCTTCCCTTCTGATTTAAGTTTCCAATGCTGCTGTAACAGCACATTTTACCACAAACTGAGTAGCCAAAATAACATAGGTCTACACTCTTATGGTTCTGGAGACTGGAAGTCCAATGTGAGGGAGCAGCACTGGTTTCTTTTAGATGCTTCAAGGCTACGCAGTCTCTGCCTTTTCCAGCTCCCAGAGGTGCCTGCAGTCCTCAGCTCCAGGCCCCTTCTCCTCACATCATTCCTCTTTCTCTGTCTCTGTCTTCATTCTGGCCTCTCACCTGCCCCTTATAAGGACACTTATGATGTTATGGCCTCATCTGGATAATCCAAGCAATCTACCTGGATCTTTGGGAGGCCTTCACATATATACTATAGCAAAAACATAAATAAATAAATAAATAAATAAATTAATTAATTTTGGGGCCAGCAAGTGGTATAGTGGTTAAGGTGCTGGACTCCCATGTAGTCAACTGTGGTTTGGGTCCTGGACCTGGTGACTTGAAACTCATACTGGGCATATGTGCATGTGTGCCCAAAATCCCAAGAGGAGAATGGAGGAGAAGGGATTGTGGCATGGCCACCCCCCCCGGTGAATGATTTCTCGCTTTCTGTCTCTGTCACTCTGCTTCTCTGGTGAGGGTATACGTTCTATACCAAAAATCTAAAAAAAAAAAAAAAAAAAAAAAAAAAAAAGAGGAAATCAATATTTTCTGAAAGACAGAGGGACAATCCCCCCAACTGGGTCTTCATACCATAAAGCCAGACTGGATCACAGGTATGCATGCCCAGCATATTTAGGAAGGCTCTGGGATGTGAACCTAGAATATTCTCTATGTCACTGTCTGGCCCTTAGAAGATTTACCTAATTTGCTCATGATATAATTTTTTTTTGGAGAGTCTTTGTGTGTGTGTGTATGTGTGTGTGCGCTATAGGGCACATGTGCTCGCCAGAGAGACAGAAATCCCCCCCTGGAGGAATGGCCATGCCACAACCCCTTCTCTTCCATCCTCCTCTTGGAATATATATATATATATATGATTGAATACAGAAGCAGATATGAGAATTCAGTTGTCATTAGTTAAGCTTGGCATTAAAGAGACTCACAGACATGTAAAACATGTCACTCCCTTATTTGGTTTCTTTCTTTTTTTTGTTTTTGGAGAGGTTTTTGCTATAGTGCACATGAGCTAGCCAGAAAGACACAGAGAGACAGAGAGACAGAAAGTAAGAAATCACCCCCCAGGGGGGATGGTCACGCCGCAATCCCTTCTCCTCCATTCTCCTCTTGGGATCTGGGGCATGCATGCACACCCGCCCGGTGTGAGTTTAAGCCACTGGGTCCGGGACTCAAACTGTGATTGACTACATGGAAGTCCAGCAACATAGCCATGATGCCAACTGCTGGTCCCATCGGTTTCTATTATTTTTATTTATTTATTTATTTTTTGGAGAGATTTTCGCTGTAGGGCTCGTGCGCTCGCCAGACAGACAGAGACAGACATAGAGACAGAAAGTGAGAAATCACCCCCCAGGGGGGATGGTCACGCCGCAATCCCTTCTCCTCCATTCTCCTCTCGGGATCTTGGGCACGCACGCACACGCGCCCGGCATGAGTTTTAAGCCACCGGGTCCGGGACACGAACTGCGGTCGACTACGTGGGAGTCCAACGACATAGCCATTATGCTAACTGCTGGTTCCCGGTTTCTATTATTGAATATAGTCATTTTCAATAAAATATGTAACATGTTAATTTGTGTTGGGTTATTATTTTTAATGCCTATTTTAAATTTTGTTTTCATTTCTAATATCAGAAATATATGTCTATAGCTTCTAGTTTCTTGACCTTGGCACAATTTACACTGGACGCTGAACCATTTTTCGTGTGGGCACTGTCCTGTGTGTTGCAGAAGAGTTCGCAGCATCTCTGATCCCTACCCTCTAGATGCCAGTGACGCCCTGGCCCAGCTGTAATAACCTAAGTGTCTTCAGATTACCGAGTGTCCTCTAGCAGGCAAACTCTTCTCACTTGAGAACCTCTGACTGGTAGGTATCTAGAGAGGCTACTGATACGATCCACATAAGCAAAAGCTATTGGGGTTCTTACCGCGTTTTAGGAGTGTAAAATGTCCCCAATATCAAAGGCTTGAGAAGCATTTGTTCAACAGATTATTTGTAATGTTGGGGACCAGCAGATGGCATAATGGTTATGTCACTGGACTCCCATATAACTGACTTAGTCAACTGTGGTTCAAGTCCTGGACTTGCTGGCTTAAAACTCATGCCAGGCACATGTGCCAAAACTCCTGAGAGCAGAACGGAGGAGAAGGGATTGTGGCATGGCATTCCCCCTGGGGGATGATTTCTTGCTTTCTGTCTGTGTCTCTAGTGAGCCCACATGCCCTATAGCAAAAATCTCTCTTAAAAAATATTATTTGTAATGTTTTCATTCGGCATAGTTGTTGAAATTTATCCACACAGATGCCTGCAGTTAGCAGGGTGTACTTCATGCATTTTTACAGATAAAGAATATTCCTTTCAATGAATAGGCGGCAGTTCATTTACATAATGTGCATTCACATGGAAGCTCAGTGCTGGGTATGTGTGTGCAGGTATACTCTCATTCTCCTGGGATGGACACGTAGCTTATTTCTACTGTTTCTTGTCATCTACATTGTTGACACAGACACTCATATATGAAGGGACTTAAAAAGTTCATAGGAAAATAGAATTAAAGTACAAGTTTATTTTGGTGCAAAAAATAAATGGAAATCCATGCATAGTTCATAATATGTACTGTCCATGAACTTTCTGAGGACTCCCCCCATACGGTTCCTGAGTCTTTATGTTTTGATCGTGAACTCACATTCGTCAGAACTTTAGGAATAAAAACTCCTTGAGACTCAGGTCCACGTTCATTTCCCACTGATTGGTATCTGCTCCTGCTGTTATCTGGGGGTACTAGGGCTGGAGGGAGGGAGCCCCTTCCACTGACGCCACCTCCCTGGGTGTCTGTAATCTAATGAGCATTAGTACACCACTGGGAGTGCTGTCTCTGTCTCTCAGTGTCTGCCTTATTCATAGAAAAAAATACATAAATAAACTTTTAAAAAAGGAAAGAATCCTTTTGAAGGTAGTAGAGCCAGTCATTAGATAAATAAAGTGTAAATTTAAGGAGTAGGTAATTCAACACCGAAGCAGAGTGCATTACCGTAGGTAAAAGCCTGCCTTAGGATAGCCGTTTGGGTGACAGTATTTCTGCTTACCGGTGTCCACTTCTGTCCTTTCTTCAGGATCATGAAATGTGTGTTGTCTCCTAAGGTTTGGAAGAACTCTTCTGTGTCCACCACAGTGCCATCTTCCTCCAGCACCAGAGTGACCAGGCTCGTGGTGATAACCAGGGCATCGAGCGTCTAGGTTTGCAATGCGTCAGAGAAACGGAATGAGACAAGATATATCCACTTGGCCCTCCGAAGGCACTGACTGAATTCCGGTGTTCACAAGTGTTGGCTGATGCTGTGAGCCTCCCTGCTGGGACTATAGGCATATGCCACCACATTCAGCTTTTAGGTTGGGCCAGGAATAAAACCCAGACCTATGTGGTCTCAGTCTGCAGAGCACAACACCTTAGCAACAAACCTCTGTGGCTGGACCAGAGTTGGAGAACATTTAAATGGTGCAGATCGACCTTTATTAGGCCAGCTGGTGGCACAGCAGTGCAATGCTCTGCAGTGTTGGACCACATGAGAAGGTCCCTGGTCCCCATCCCAAGGTCTTCCTGTGCATGCTAGGCACATGTGTGCACCTGCTATCTGGGCCGATAGAGGCTGGGGAGGGCTGCAGTGTGGGAACCCTGTTGAGAGTACCGTTCTTTCTGTCTCCCTCTTTCATGGAACAAAATAAATGAATAACTTAAAAATATATAGCTTTATTAGTGTTTATAACTCAGTCTTTGCTCAGAAAAATAGAGGTATTTTTGTTTCATTTTTAGTTTTTGCTATAAGGCATTTGTGCTCACCAGAGAGGGAGAGAGAGAAGGAAAGTGAGAAATCACCCCTTTAGGAGGATGGCCAGCTGCAATCCCCTATCCTCTGTTCTCCTCTTGGGATGTTGGGCACACATGCACAAGCACCCAGGATGATTTTCAAGCCACCAGTCTGGGACTTGACCCACACCGTCAGCCCTGTGGGAGTCCGGCCACCCTAACCTTCACACCACCTGCTGCCCCAAGAAGTTAAGATTGTAATGAACCTTTTTTCTTAAGAGATTTTTGTGACATGAGATAAGTGATGTATTGTGTAATAGTTATAATTTCTAAGATTCCTTTAGAAATGGAAAGAATTTTGAGGAGAAGAATAATCCTGCATGCTATTTTAAGAGCCTTAGCCATGCACGGTACATGTGAGCACCTCTCTTGCTTCATAGACTACGTATTAGAAACTCACTGCTTGTTTCCATGGGTACCTGAGTTATAGTTCTCTGAGAAGCTAGACTTCTTCCATATTTGGTGGTCCAGGACATTGCTTTAGATTAAGGACTATTCTATCCTGGCCTTTATAACCAAAGACAGACTTCCACGACTGGATTTCCTAGGTTCTCCCTCGTTAAACAAAGCTACATTATCAGGTTTTAAGGTTTTTGTCTCTGTACCTAATCCTTTCCTGGCGCAGAGATGCAACAGTGTTTCCTCTGATTATTTATATCTACCTATTAACCTTGTGACAATGACTCTGCCCGGACTGTCCCCGGCCAAGGGAGGGCCTGATGAGCTTGCCATGTTATTTTTCTTCACCTTTCTGTCTTAGTCCTGTGGGAGCTCAGGGCACCCCTGGGGCCTGGAAGGAGAGGCTCAGGGCATACACAATACCTTGCTGATGAGCTCCTTCAGACTGCTCGCCATCACCCCACGCCGACTGCTGCGGTCATGGTTGGAGACCCGGAACGGGCGAGCCGAAGGCATGAGGGGGGTTAGCAGGACCTTCTTGGTCTGTGATCCCATAAATGTCAGGGGCCTGAAATGGAGGGGAAAAAAAGTGAAAAAAACCTTTGACATTACTTTATATATATATATATATATATTTAACTTTCTCTCTCTTTCTCTCTTTATTTCTTATTTTTTAAATATGACCAGAGAGGGACGGAGTGATAGAGAGAGAGGGAAAGTGTGAAAGCAAGCCACCAGGTCCAGGACTCAAACCATGGTAAGCCATGTGGGAATCCAGCGCCCTTATCCACCATGCCACCTGCCGGCCCCTTGACATTACTTTGTAAAAGTCTTTTTATCTCTTTCAAAGTTTTGCCAGAAGGCACATGTACTCACTGGAGAGAGAGAGAGAAAAAGAAGCACTTCACATGGGTCATGGCCACACTAGAATCTCTTCCATTTTTTTCTCCTTTTGTCATTTTATGCATGCATGCATGCATGTCTGGCATGTTTCTCAAGCTTCTGGGTCTGGAGCTTGAACCACATATTCAGCCACATAGGATGCAGTAGCCTTAACCACTATTCCACAGGCTGCCCTCCTTTCCCTTACTTAAAGTGAGGGTCTCACTGTCTCAGTCCTTCTGCCTCAGCCTCCACAGTAGCTGGGACTATGGATGGGAACCACCACATCTGGCCTCTTAAAAAAAGTCTTTAAGGAAATAAAGTAATTTTAATGTTTGCGTCTACAAGAAAAATTAAAAGGCTGGGCATTACTAAAAATTATATATACATTCCTCTCCAGCTTAGGCCAGGAAAATGGCTCCCACAGAGAAGGGTGGTGAGAAGGGCCTTTCTACCATCAAGCAGGTGGTGCCCGGGGATACACCATCGACATTCACAAGTGCTCCATGGCGTGAGCTTCAAGAAATGTGCCCCCTGGGCTCTCAAAGAGATCTGGAAATTCACCTTGAAGATGGGGACTCCAGACGTGTGCATCGATACCAGGCTCAACAAAGCTATCTGGACCAAAGGAATAAGGAATGTCCCGTATTGTGTCTGTGTGCGGTTGTCCAGAAAACGTAACGAGGATGAAGACTCACCCAACAAGTTCTACACGCTGGTGACCTACGTACCGGTTACCACTTTCGAAACATCTACGTTAATAAGAACGTATTGCTGTCTGATTTTCAAATAAAGTTATAAAACCAAAACAAAAAAAATGATATGTACACAAATATACCCATATTTCTAAGAAATATGAAGTAATCCAGTAAATTAAAGCTCATAATCATCTTCATTCCTATTTACCAGAACATTCAAAGTCCTTGCTACAACTGTTTGAGAAGGAATGATAAAGGCATTGAACTCGGAAAAGAAATAAGAACCATTTTCTGCAAATATGGTTGGGTTTTAGAGCTAAGCAAAATTCAAGATGCTCTAGCAAACGGGGCATGTGCACACGTGGTTGCGTATCTACACAATAAAACTAAGCCAGAAAACAACTCAGGGGACAGGTACTGGTTGCTATGGCAATCGGCCAAGGTTTTGTAATTAATTTAGGATAAACCAAGAACAATAAAGCCACAGTCATAATTGTGGTTGGAATAACGAGAGGGAAAAGAACTTCTAAGTTGTACGCCCCATGGTATTTTGGATTAAGGTCTACACTTACTGAAGAACTAATTCAAAAATTCTTTCTGAAATCGCACTCACATGGAGAATGGAAATGTCTGGAGCAAAACCAAAACGAGGCAATTTTTTGAGGAAAAAAGAAATCCCCAATGCTTGATGACTAAATTTTAGTTACCTAGCAACTACAGACAAAGTAATAAAATGACGGCTAAGCGAGAAATAGCTGATAAAGAAGCTAACTAGATTAGGAGTTATTTAACAAACACGCTTTGCTTCATAACTTCTATTGCAGGAAACCCTGTGATGTAGACTTAGCTTTCTCAACTCACAGAGAGGCATGTCAGGCCAGAGAGCTGCCCCACAGCCTGGGCGGGGAGTGGGGAGCTGGTCTCCGGCCGGCCCTTTGCCTTCAAACAGTGGTCTAGATGCTGCGTGCTAAGTTACTAAAGCGTAAGAGAAAACTTCATGTTAGTAAACATATGAAGGGTTTGATACCAATTAATGAAATCCTGAACTACCTTTGACACAGTACTAGTTTTTTTAAAAATAGATTTAATTTTTAAAAAAGATTTATTTAATTCTATTTATTTATTCATTTATTTTATTTTGACGAGAGAGAGAGAGAGAAAGCCACCAGGTCTGGGACTCGAACTGTGGCTAGCCATGTGGGAGTGTCCAGCATCTTAGCCACCATGCCACCTGCTGGTCCCAGTACTACATACTTTTAAACAAAAAAGCAAGAAGTTATTTAAAAATAACACCATGAGGTGAAACATGTCTTGCTGCTGCCACCAGGAGGTGGCCTAGCCTCTGTGGAGGCAAATTAAGCAATGTGTGAAGAATTTTCAACTAGACTGTGAGCTTTTTCATTTAGGAAGGGACCCATAAAAACTGTAATACAAGCAGTAATACAAGGTAATACAAGCAGAAATTCACAATATTTCAGGTTTCACTTTCTGCTGAGCACAGTGAGTGCTTTAAATGTGACCTCGTTTACTCCCCGCAGACACACCCCCACCCCAAGGGACCAGCGGCCTTCAGCTGCAGTGTCCCTGCACCCAGGGCAGTGGCCCCCTATTTCCAGTGGTCAAATAGTGGATGACTATTTGGACAAACACTTGTTCAAGTACATTCAGGAGAAAAAAAGGGCTATATTTTTAGGGTGATTTTGTTTTTGTTTTTGTTTCGGAGAGGTTTTTGCTACAGGGTGCGTGCACTCGCCAGAAAGACAGAGAGAGATAGAGAGACATAAAGCGAGAAATCACCCCCCAGGGGGATGGCCACACTGCAATCCCTTCTCCTCCATTCTCCTCGGGATGTTGGGCACACACGCACACACACCCGATGTGAGTTTAAGCCACCAGGTCCGGGAGTCGAACTGTGGTCGATGACATGGGAGTTCAGAGACATAGCCATTACGCTAACTGTTGGTTCCCCAGATGATTTTGTAAAAGGTACAAAGTTAGCACATCACTGTTTTCTTTTTCTTTATTTTATTTAACTTTATTTATTCATTCGTTTATTTATTTGAATTTGACCAGAGAGGGATAGAGTTAGTGAGTGAGTGAGAGACAGAGGAAGTCGCCAGGTGCAGGACTCGAACCATAGTCAGACACGTGTTAGTCCAGCACCCTTAACCACTAATGCACCTGCTGGCCCCATCACTGTTTTCTTACAACTGTTTGTCTAGATTAGCTCTCTAACAGCTAAAATTCTAAGGAATGCCTGTACTAATTGCCAATGCTTATCTTCTGGGGTTTTGTAAATATACACATACACATATATTTGTGAGTGTGTGTGAGAGAGAACTTCCAGAAGTTCCTGCAAAAATGGAATTAACAAAAAACATTGAAATCCATGCATTTTTTTCATAATACACATTTTCATTGAAATTTTCTTTATTCATGACTGTGTGCACACTTGACAGTGAGAAAGAGAGACACAGGGAGAGAATGAGCACCCTCCATAGGGCCTGGTCACGTGGAGGTCCCTTTCCTCCAGCCGCCAGCCTTCTGAATCTTAGGGCACTTGCGCACATACCCAGCATGCTTCAGGCTGACTGCCCAGGGATTCAGACCACAGCTGCCGTGTGGGATCCAGCTTCTCCTGAGCAGCACATTACCACTGCACCACGGAGCCAGCCTGACTTTTTCATTTAATAGTTTTTTTTTCCCTTTATTTACAACAGGACATGAGAGACAGAGAAAAAGAGAGAGAGAGAGAGAGAGAGAGAGAGAGAGAGAAGCACCCTCCACAGGGGTTGGTCTCACTGCATTCCCCTTCCTCCAGTCCTCTGGTCTGCCAGGATCATGTGCGACCTCATGCACCTGGTGTGTCTAACCACAGTCAGCGTGTGCACTCCGGCTCCACAGTCCAGCATGCTACCGACTACTCCACAAAGAGACTGCTACCAAACCTTAAGGACCCCCTCATGCGCGCGCACACACACACACACACACACACGTTGTCACTTACCTTTTTATTTTTTAACGTGTCAGAGTTGTCACCAGAGAGAAACAGAGAGATAGAAAGCAGGGGGAGAGGAAGAAAGCACCCCCGATGGGCTGTCATCACAACACAATCCCTTCTCTTCTGTCTCTCCATCCCGTTGGGATTTTGTGCATGCACACACATACAGCCAGCATGTGTTTTTAAGCTGCTAGGTCTGGGATTTGAATCTCAGTCGGTCACATGGGATCTGGCTCCCTTAACCACCAGGTCACTGGCAGGTGTCATTTATCTTTGCTTTATCTGCATAACTAGATTGGAATTTCCTTATGGATGAGGGGGCTTCTTTGCTCTATTTCCTAAAGCCTAGTCTGGTGCTAAGCACCTGTTTTAAATAGTATGCTGTCTAACTTGAAGCTCTACCAATGGACTCAAGAAAAAATTCAATGACTTACCAAGTAACTTGCTATATAAAAACCTGATACATAGTAACGAAGCTCTCAAAAATTGTCAGGTTAAGTTCATGGTACCAGCTTGATCAGTCACTTCTGGGAGGTTCTATATCATCGTATTTGTGCCTTATCCCTACTTCTCACCAAATAATCTGCATTTTGGAGTCTGATGTAAAAATGTTAGCAAGAATTCGATCTGAAGTGTACTCAGTGTCAGTATCACATTAATGACTCAACTGCTCACATCTGAGCACTTGCAATGGCTAGCAGTGGACTAGCTCTTTAAATGCATGAACTAATTATCACACCCTTGTAAGAAAAGTATTATTCCATTTCACAGATGGCAGGATTGAGGCTCAGGGTTGTTTCTCAAGGTCACTCAGTTAATCGGGCAGAGATGGGACACAATCCCAGGTCTGTCCAAAGTCAAGGCTTTTTTTTTTTTTTTTCCTGGAGAGGCTTTTGCTATAGGGCACATACGCTCACCAGACAGACAGAGAGAGACAGAAAGCAAGAAATTACGCCCCAGGGTGGATGGCCATGCTGCAATCCCTTCTCCTCCATTCTCTTCTTGGGATCTTGGGCACGCACGCACCCAGTGTGAGCTTTTTAAGCCATCAGGTCCGGGACTTGAACCGCAGTCAATTACATGGGAGTCCAGTGACATAGCCATTATGCTAACTGCTGGTCCCATCCAAGGCTTTTTGTTGTTGTTGTTGTGGTTGGGGCACATGGGTTGGTTACCTAGTCTCTGAATGTCAAAGTTCAATGAATAAACATCTAGAGCACCGAGGAAGAGCTGCCCTGTCTATGGCTGAGAGTACAGCAGCATTTTGAGTTCACAACTCCATGCTTTTTCCCTTTGAGGTAGACAAAGTCACATCATTTATTTCCAGTGAGGCAATACCAAGGAGAATACGCTAAGTCAGGGGTTCCTGGCCTGGGTCACCTGTTAGAGTGGCTGAGAGGCCTTTACCAGGGACCCATAGAAATTTTATTTATTTATTTTTTTTGGAGAGGTTTTTGCTATAGAACACATGCACTCTCCAAAAAAGAGAGACAGAGAGACAGAAAGCGTGAAATCATCCCCAGGGGGAATGGCCACGCTGCAATCCCTTCTCCTCCATTCTCCTCTTGGGATCTTGGGCATGCACACGC